GCCCTCCGTGACCCTCCGCCAGCACCTCCGCCGCCTCCTGCCCTGGGGCCTCCTGGGCTCGGGGAAGGGGCTCTGCGCCTCGGCCCCCGAGTCGTGCTCGCAGCAGTAGGAGCGCCCGTCTGCGGTGGAGCGCCAGGCGGTCCCGTCTTGGTGCTCCTTGCAGAACGAATTGGGGCACAAGTGGCAAAAGGAGGCCGAAGGTTTGCCACACACGTCACAGTGATGCCAAGGGCACACCCACTTCCCTGTAAGGAGATGGCATGTTACCAGACGGGCAACCAGTGGCAAGTCCCACACCCATCAGCTGCCTCCCACCCTTCCTCCCTCCCACCTGAGAGCGCCAAGGCCAGCTGCCCAGGGCCTGCCCCTGCCTGCCTGTGCCTACTGCTGCCCCGCTCTCCCTCTCTTAAGGGCCTGGCGCCAGACCTCTCTCCTGACGCCTGTCTGCAACCTGCTCTGTCATTTCCCATCTAAACGTTTGTTTTTACAGACGCCTGGCTTTCACAGTGCTGGGGGCTCCTGGTTTCCTGCCGGGGTCACAGCTCTGCTCCCCCTACTGCGGGCCCTGAGCCGCCGGGCGGGACGCACCGAAGGGCCGCTTGCCCAGGCCCAGGCAGGACAGGTGGTAGGCCTTGGTGCAGGACTTGCGGTCACACAGCACCAGCTGCCCGCCGTCGCCGCAGCGGAAGCACTCGTCCTCCGACTCCTTCTTCCCTTCGCCTTTGGTCCGGCGCCTCCGGCTTTTCTTCTTGGTCTTTTTGCCCTTTTCCTCTGAAGACAGCACGGTGGAGGTCTGGGGGGAGAGTGAGCACGGTCCGTGGGAAAGAGCAGCAGGCTGAAGCTGCCGCTTCGGGGGCTGAGAAAACCCTGGGGCTACCCCAGCATCGAAAGAACGGGGTTCAACACGGCAAGCGGCTCCCCACGCCTGTGCTGACGCCCGTGCGGAGCGAGAAAGTTGCACACGAAGCAGCACAGGCACGAGCCCTTAGTGGCTGAGGCCCAGGTGGCCAGACCTGCTGACGGGCAGAACCAAGGACACGGGGCTCGGCCCGACCCGGTGTGGTGGTGAACATGAGAAAACTAGAGGCCTGGTGCATGAAATTTGTGCACCGGTAGGGTCCCTAGGCCTGGCTGGCAATCAGGGCCGATCTGTGGGGCGACTGGCGGGGCCCCCATGCACCCGCCTTGGTTGGCCTGGGGCCTGTGGGCAACTCCTGCATTGAGCGTCTGCACCCCCTGGTGGTCAGTGTGCGTCATAGCAACCAGTAGTTCCACCCATCATTCTGTAGTTCAGTCAATTTGCATATTAGGCTTTTGTTATATAGGATGAGGATAGCAGGGATCCCCGCAGCAGGCGCCTGTGTCGCCCCAGGTCGTGTCCTTCTGCCACCTCGGGGGGGTGGGGGGGCGCTGTGTGGGGAGAGGGTCGTAGCGGATGTGCGAGGGGAGGGAGGGGAGGTCACGTGGGGCAGGGGCCCTACTCCAGCCTGACCCATGTCCTTAGCAGAAGAGGGACACCGACATGGAGGCCGTGTGACGAGGGGCTGGGAGAGGCTGCTCCCGGCCCAGGACAGCCAGTGGCCAGGAGCAGAGGCAGGAGCAGCCCGGGACCTGGGAGCGCAGCTCTGCCGTGGAGTCCCAGGCTGGGCGCACGCAGCCTTTACCTTCGGTCTGTCCCCAAGGAACCCGCTGCAGTTGGGGGCGCCACACCGGCACACGGTCTTCTCGTTGCCCAGACAGTCGAGGTTGTAGTTAAACGTCAGCTCTGTCCCTGGTGACGGCAGACGAGCCACATGGAAACACTGTCTGTTTATCATCTGAGCCTCCGGCCGCCGGTATCCCCCCCACGCTACTCGTCCCCACGGCTGCGAATGCCGCCTCGCACCAGACACCACCTCCAAGCGACCAGCGCCCCCCAGGGCCCTCCGACGTGCGGGGCTCAGGCCGTACCTGCAGGAATGTCACACACGGCAAACAGGCCCACACGCGTGTCCCCGTTCACCGTCCACTTGAGGGTCTCGCAGTTGGGCTGGCAGCTGTGGTTCATAAACCTGGAGTAGTTGCCTTTGGGGCCGGCGTCGATGATGCGGTCCTGGAGGCACAACGTAGGGTTCAAGTGCGGCCAGGGCACCGCCAGCCGTCTCGCGGGCCCCGCACGAGACTCGCGGACAGCGGTGTTGTACTGGCAACTGTGGTCTCCTGCGTCCATTCGGGCAGGAGCCCCCAATCCAGTCCCGTTGCTGTCGCTCCCGGAGGGCGGGTCAGGACCACGTGGATGGGACCAGCCCTGGGAGCCAGGCGGGAGCCGAGGCCTGGTGCCCCTTCGCTGTCGGGCACCGAAGGTTGGCACCGACAGCCCCAGATGCCAGAGCGCAGCCAACAACTGCGAACGGGCCCAGGACGCAAACACGGCTCCCAGCAGGAGGGAAGACGCCCGCACTCTGAGCAGCCGGCAGTGCCGTGGTCAGAGCCCAGCTGGTGGTCAGCAGCTGGGGCAGCCCTGCTGCCACAGGCCTGTGCTCCAGACTCCGCATCCCTGAGGCAGAGCCCAGAGGGGAGGGCTGCCCGGCAGCAGGGAAGGGCGGGCAGGCGCCGAGCGTAAGGCCACATCCAGGCCCAGGCCCAGCGAGGGACACGGACACGCCAGCCCCCCTGCCATGCGCCGTCCCCATGCACCCCCCTCTCCACGCCTGCACAGCAGACGCGCCTCACACCACGTGGCTCACTCGTGGGGCCATGACAGACGGTCCCTGACGCGGTGCAGGGTGCACACCGTCCTGGACCCCACGGGCCCGGTAGGCCCGGCCTGTCCCCACCGCCCTCTCGTGTTCAGATGGTCTCTGTGCCTGAGTAAGTGCCCGGCGTCCTCACAGACCGCTGCTCACTCAGAGCGTCCTGGTCTTGCGCCGCGACCTCCCCTCCCGGCCTCCCGGCTGCAGCGCGTGCCCGCATCTGCCCTGGTCTCCACTGCCAGCCCGGCCCGGCCCCTGCAGGGGCCTCACTGCTGAGACAGCCGCGGGTGCGGTCCTGCAGGTCTTGCAGGCAGCCTGGGGGCGGGGACTGCCGCAGGTCACGGGACCCGGGTCAGGTGGTAACAAACTCCCGTGGCCTGACTTGGGGGAGATCTGCACTTTTCCAGGCTCCATCTCTCCCGTGCCTGCACCTCCGACCCCTGACCTCTCCCCCGCGCTCGCCTTCACCCGGCTAACAGCTGTCTGACGCCCTTAACCCACCGGGCGCGGCGCGTCCCAGCCGGTCCCCAGGATGGCTGCTCGGGGGCCTGGTCCCCGGTCCTGTCTGGGTCTCCCCATTTCTAACACGTGCTCCGTTTCCCTCAGCGTAGTCGCCTTGTCTCGGGCTCTCACCCACCTTAGCCTTCTACTGAGAGTCTGCTCATGTCCCCCGGCCCCCCAAACGCCGGGTAGGGCTGGGCTGTTTCTGTAAGAAACGCTGAGGAGTGACTGCTTATTCTGCCCCCCGTGTTGGGCAGAGCCTGCACCCCAGCCGCTGCCCGGGCGGCACCAGGCAGGAACCAGTCTGCGTTACAGGAGCGACTGGCGCTTGCACGACACACATTAAGTTTAGGCTCTAAAAACGGGCCAGGCCCCGGCCCCGCTTCCCCCGACCCAGGAGGAGGGCCTGGCCCGGAACGTGTAAGCTCGCTTGCTGCCTTTGGAGCGGCTGTGGTCACCAAAGAAGTCACCCCGGAAAGGGCTGCGACTGCGCCCCAGACGCACCTGCCTCCCCTCCCCCTCCCCCCACACTGACCACCGCAGGCCTTCCTTCCAAACCAACCAAGGCAGCTCCCTACGACGGGGCGTCACCCCCACCCTGACGCCCAGGAAGAGGTCAGCACCCCGAACACCAGTGAGCACACGAGGCCCCAGACACCTCGCACCGAGGGACAGTGCCCGGGGCAGTCGCCCCCACAGCTGCACAGGTTGAACCCCCCCCCCCCAGCAGGCGGCTACCTTGTCGATGGTGAGCATGTAGAAGTGCGTGATGTCGTTCTCCTGCGCGTGCTTGATGCGGGCCATGCACTCCTCCTCGTCGATCAGCTCGCCCACGTACTCGTTCACGAACTCCCCCTGTGGGCAGAGCACAGGCTGGAGGCCGCCCGGGGTCTGGCAGCCCTGCCCACGGCCCCGCCCGCACAGCCCCGCCTTCCCAGCAGGCCACCGCTGACGGGAATTTCTGGGCTGCACTTGGACAGGTAACTGTGGTGACAACCCCCCACCTGGACGCCCCCCAGGTGTGCCCAGCGCAGCTCGGAGCCACGGCCCAGGCGGAGGGGAGGGCAGACCTTGCGGATGTCCCGCGTGGCGACCAGGCCCCAGCCCTTGCCGTCGGTGCGCACGATCTTGGTCTCGGGGTACTGGCGCTTGCTGAAGCTCTGGTTCTGACAGGCCTCCCCGGCGGGGCACACCTGCGGGTGGCACTCGAACATGAGCATCCGGTTCAGACACTCGGAGTCCAGGCCGCAGGGGCTGTCGTCCGTGGGCTTACAGTTGCACTTGGGGATCTCGGAAATGTCGGCCGTGTAGATCTGCACTTTCCCGTACGGCTTATTCACCTGCGGGGACAGGTACACTGCCTCAGCCCGGTGCCCTGACACGAAGGCACCGTGACCCCGGCACTCCTGCCCCACCCACCAGCCTCCTGCCGCCCAGGGAGGAGCCTGGCCAGAGGTGCACAGCCCCCACGGGTCACAGGACCCTCGCCAGGCGCAGGGAGCGGCCGACCTGCCCTGGAGCTTCAGAAGGTGCCCGCCCCATGGGCTCTGTGGTAGTGCGAGTGCCCGTCTACTGGACAGCTGGCACACAGGCTGCCCGGGACAAGGAGGTGCTGCACCCCTCATGGCCCACATCCGTGGGCACTTCCCTCCGCAAGGAGCACCCATGGCACCACCTGGACGGGAGGGCTCAGGGCGCAGCCTCCGCCAGGGCCGGCTCACTGTTCATGGAGAAGAGCCCCAGGGAGGGGAGCCTGCGCCTGCACAGCAGCCTCCAGCCCCGGGCAGGCCCTCCAGCAGGTGCCCCCGGGACTGGCCAGGGAAGGCTGGGCATCTTTTTTTACGGGGCTGCCTTCACCAGACGACCGGATGCAGAGAGGAGCCTGGACCCGGGGCCCGATGACCGCTGCCAGGCTCCGGCACCCGGAGCAGATGCCGGGCCGTGTTCAGCTCCGGCCCTGCTGGCCACGCCCTCGGAGCGGGCACCGTCTTTGGTCCCCAGGATGCTGGCTCAGCCCTGCCCGCCCCTCCGTCCCGGGCACAAGGACCGGCCGAGGCCTCACGTCTGCTCTCCCTGCTGCGACTGCATCTGCGCACAAACCGCCCGTGCGCACCCGCTCACCTTGATGTGCTTGTAGGGCGGGGGCTTCCGCTCGCTCTCCTGCGTCTCTCTGGCTTCCCGCTGCAGTTTGATTTCACGGAAACGAGCTTCCGCTTCTTGCAGTGCTGAAAGGTCAACGCGGTGGGAGGACAGCGCCTGGTCAGCGAGCCCCCCTGCCCTTCAAGCTCACGGTCCCCTCCCGCGGCCCCGGCCCCGCGACACCCCACGCTCCTTGTGGAAGCGGGCGGGCGTCTGTCCCCTGCGCTCGAGGCCGAAGCAGGCAAGCTCCCCCCACACCTCCCGCTTAGTAGCAGCGGCGAGAAACTCCTGCAAACCAGCACTCGCACTTTCCCGAAGACAGCGCAGCGCGTGCGAGTGAAACGAACCGCACCCCCAGGTCACAGGAGTCCAACCCACTCTGGGCCCCCACGGGCCAGGGTCTCCACGGAAACCACTTTCACAAGCAGAAACCAGGGCTGGCCCGCGCCCCCGGCCTCACGGCCCCGGCAACGTCCGTACCGTTTTTGAAGACTCTGCCGATCCCGCTGACCCCCTGGTAGCGGCTGCCCCGGTCCCCCTCCATGTACGGGAACACTCGAGCCTGATGCGTCCAGTAATAATCTTTAGACCCAAAGAAAAACACAGGGAATTCTCCAATCTCGTGCTTCATTTTCTGAATATTTGGGGGGACATTTTTGGGATGGCAAACTTCTGCCGGCCACCATCTATTATAAATATTAAAAAGAGGGTTCACAGACTCTTCAGAGAGCGCGGCGACCGCTCCGCACTGCAGCTCTGCAAAGCAAACACACGTGAGGGCGGGGGGCTCCGGTCCCAACCTGTAGTTCCCGAGTTTGACCCACACGATGTCCTGGTGGTGCAGCCTCTTCCCCGCCCGGCAGTCGTTGCAGAACCAGCTGCCGTCGGGCATGTCGATGCTGAGGCAGTCGGGGTGGAAGGCCGCCGGGCAGGACTCGCAGCACAGCAGGCTCCCTCCTGCAAAAGGGGCGGCTCAGCCTGGCGCGGCCCGCGGCCCCGGCTCGCGCC